GAGTGAGACTAACAAAAGTCTAAAACGATTGGTCCCTATTGACCTTTGAAGTGGAGTTATGATTGCTTCGCTGAATTTTGGATCTATTATTAGGTATTTACTGGAAATTTCCTTGGTCGAGATATTGAATTTTCAAGGAAACTCAATTTGTCTATCATGTCTGTAGCTTGTACGTCTAAGATGAATTCAATCGACAGTTATTAGTTCTAGTAGTTTCTTCGTTAGCTTATAAACTATTTCGTCAAGAAACATATAAATATGAATATAAAAATTGTAGGCTATTAATTCTATATGATATTTTTTTTAAAGGATATTCTTCGATGTCGTGTTCTTACATCAGGTATTTATGAAACAATTTTCAGTGTTGAACGTGTGCGTTTCCAGTATGTATTTGTCAATAATTGAATACTTGATAAAATATATCTAAATAGTATGTTTGATGTTGGTGGACAACGTGAAGAACGCCGAAAATGGATTCAATGCTTTAATGATGTTACGGCAATAATATTTGTTACAGCTTGTAGTGGTTTTAATTTGGTACTGATTGAAGATGAAAAACAAAATCAATTGAGAGAATCACTTGATTTATTTAAAAATATTTGGAATAATCGGTAGAAAATTTGTTAAAGAAAAAAAAATTTATTGTTTTCTTTTGTCTGTTGATTTTCTTAGATGGTTAAAAACAATATCGGTTATTTTATTTCTTAATAAACAAGATCTTCTAGCAGAAAAAATCAAAGCTGGTCGTCGACTTGAAGAATATTTTGCTGAATTTGAACATTATGTTGTTTCACATGCTGAATTAGGTAAATGGAAATAATCTAGGTCATGAAAGAGAATTTTTTAAAATCTATTTATTTTTCGCAGATCCATCTTTTTTAAAATATAGTAAGCAAAACTCAAAACACATTTTTGTTTGTTATTCTTTGTGTATTTTGAATTAATCAGAATTGATAATTTTCTTTTGCTTTGTTTGAATATAAATATTCATTGATGATTTTTACTTTAGAGAAATCCGAATCAAATGAAGATGCAGAAGTAACTCGAGCTAAATATTTCATACGGGACGAATTTTTAGTAAGTTAAATTAAATGAAAATTGTTTTACATGTTATTTTATTTTTTTGTTTAGCGAATTAGTACAGCTGGTGGTAACAATCGTCATTCCTGTTATCCACATTTTACATGTGCTGTTGATACAGAAAATATTCGTCGAGTATTTAATGATTGTCGCGATATCATTCAACGTATGCACTTGAGACAGTACGAATTACTGTGATTTTCTGTCTCAGATTATTCTCATCTGTGCTTACTTTTTCGAGATACATCCAATTTCGGCTTTTTTAATCTTCTGTTTCATTTTTTTTACAAATTCAAGAGTTTCTTTTTCTTCATATATTTTTTACTAGAAAAATAGACTTTCTCTTTTGTTTCTTTCGTTTTGTTCTCACTGCACGTAATGCTCAATTGGTCTTATTTGGATAAAAAGGAAACTGTTAAAGATGCACAAGCTGATTCTTTGTGGTGTTGTTTCATCTTTCTTTTTTTGAGCTCTAATTTCTTTCATTTTCATACTTTAATATGTACAGTTAATCGTGCTTTAATTTTTCTCTTGTCTATAGATGGTAACATTGACTGTTAAGACAATAATATTCGTGAAAGAAAATTCGAGTAATCGAATCTCGGCTGAAATGCCATTTTTCTCTCACCTAAGAAGCAATAGTCATCGATTTTTTTGTGATCTGTCAACTAGTACGATGACCTAAAAAAGAAGTTTGGATTGTTTTTTTCTTTTCTTTTAGTATTCTATCTTTTCCATTTTTGTATTTGAAAAAAAAAACAACAGAATCTGCACGTTATTAAGAACATTGTGTAATGTGAAGTTTTTTTTGCTCTTTTTCATAAGCTTATATACACATATGTTCTTTTTCACTTGCTCGCTCGATCTCGCTTTTCGTTATCGCTCTTCTTTTTTCAAACAATTGTTTGTATTTTCTCTTCTTTCTTTTTTTCTTTCTGTATCTGTGTGTGAGTGTCTTTTTTAACTCCTTGAATGAAGTTTTCTGACACACACAAATAAAAAAAAACTTACCAGAAAATCATTAGTAACACGAAATGTTTATTCACATGTGATAGAATACTTTTCAATGACAAAACCACTGTTGAAAAAAATGAAATTATTGCAGTATGTTAGTCAAATAGACCCTGGCTTTTTTCCTTGCAAAGAAGGGAAAAGCTATGTCAAATAGTGAATTAGACGTATATGCAATAATCACACTACTTGATGATGACTATATATATGGACAAGATTGACGAAAACAGGACACGATCATCTTCGACTTGACTTGGATTCTTTGTTAGAATTATTTCTTCGAAAAACTTCTTTTAATATGAATATATATATATAAATATTGGTCCTTTCAGCTCACATATATTAAATTTAATTAGCGAACATGTCTCTAACTTTCTTGAAAAAAATCTAAACTTGTCCAGGAAAACCATTGTATAGCGATTTTGTAGTCTGAAAAGTATTCTACAAAACGTACTATTTAGTTGTTAAAAATATTATTTGAACTTGCAGGAGTTGTAAATGGAAACGTATGCAATCAAAACCTTCTTCTTCTTCTTCTTGTATTGCGTTTGTCCTACATAAATTAGCCAAAATAAATACTCGAGCCTAAAAATATTAGTATTTTTATTTTGCGAGACCATCTTGCTAATTTATGAATTAGCCTACATTAATTATATTTGGTGGAAGTATAAACTATCTTATTATTGTTTTGGTGAGTTACAATTTGGTTATCGATCATCATCTGGGTTAAATACTCTTCTGGAAATTACATGTATTTTCTTCAACAATAGTGAGCATAAGTTAAAATCGAAGCTTTTTCGATTACCCTTCTCTAGGCTCTAATGACCTAAATTAAAGACCAGAGGCAAATACAAGGGGAACAAACTGATTTCTTGATTTCCATGATTTCTAATGATTTCTAGTAACCTCGGAGTTTCAATTTTATTTTTTATTGTTCAAGGCGAGAGGGCACAAACTGCTTTCTACGCTAGAAATCACTGAAAAATCACTAAAAATCACCAGAAATCCTTTTAAAGCCTTGAGCATACAAATAATGGCTGGTAGTGATTATAAATGATCGGAAACTATCAGAAATCATTAGAACTCAATGGAAATCACTAAATCTTAGAAAATCTCCACTAATAAGATTAATAGCAAATCCGTGACTTTATTGATTTCTAATAACATTTATTGATTTTTATTAATTTTCAGTAATTGCCAATATTCTTGGTGATTTCTAACGATTTCTCGTGATTTTCTTTCATTTATAAGCATTTTCGATGATTCCTATTGATTCACGGTGATCAGATAAAAACTGATTTCCAGTGATAGAAATCCAATGGGAGAAGCACTGGATTCTGGAATTTCAAAGAATCTTTGGGAATCCTATGGAATCTTGGAGTCCTCAGTCTAAAAGCCCTTGAATGTACTACTATCGCAGGAAAATCTGTTAAAATACATCAGTAATAAAAAGAACATTCTACTAACATTTTTCGTAGCTTCCTCATTCAGAACCTCTTGTTTTCATATCTTGACATTGCACATTGATCTCTTTCAATATATATATTAGGTTAAGATCAGTACACATACAACAGAAAAGAACATAGTTCATAAAGATGAAAACGAAAACAAGAAAGGCTTGAATATAAATATTTAAAAAAACATTTCAATAGCAGAAAGAGGATTGACGATGAGGTTACTCCTACTTGGGCATAATATCATGTATATAAAAACAGAAAAAGGAAAAACTGTTGAACAGAATTCTTAAATAAAGTTTATCATTTAAAAATACTCTTTTCTGAAATACGTATCGAAGATAAAAATCANAATAGCCAGGAAACGGATAAATGATTAGAAATCAAGAAATCAGTTTGTTCCAAGTTGTAAATAATATAAACTTATTTCTGATGATTTCCAGTGATTTCTTTGATTTCTAGTGATTTCTGATGTTAGAAATCAGTTTGTTCCCCCTTGGGCAAATAAGTATGTTTTCCCTAGCATGGGGATGAGAGCACAATAGGCTTCCGACTCGTTTCCCAGAGTTCCTTAGCAACTGATAAAGGCGTTGAGCAGCATTAAAAACAAGACTTAGACTATTCTAGAACATCTGAAGACCTTCGTGAAAATCTGAATGGCTGAAATACGTTTATGAATGTTCTAAATAGTGCGGTTTTCGATATTCGCACAGATAAAAACAGTGATACAACAGATGAGTCTTCAAACACTTGAATTAATTCATATTCACATTAAAAACTGAATACAGCTTTTGCTTGTTTAAAGTATCGGTCTCATTCTATCAAAGGAAAAGTTGAACTTAGCTCATATCCACATCCTTCTAAAGGAAGGTTGGTATCGAGCTGTTAAAGTACTATTAATTTGTAATGTGTCATCCTCGATACAATGGCTGATTCATTAACAAATCACTTTTTAGTCGAGCCTATGCTCAAACGATAGACCTTATTGAGCTATTAAACATCCTACAAGGGTTTGTTTTTCCAGACCTTCTGAGCAGGGATATACGGTTATTACTACTACTAGTTTTTCTGTACTACGCTACTAATATATTCGATCTCGCTCAAATTTAAATCAATACTAAGGCATTCAGTACTGATTAAGATGCCAGAGTAGAAAAATGAATTCGCGCACTTTTCATCATATGATCTATTTTCAGTAACATGCTTATAAGTCAGACAACAATCAACAAAAAGCAAGAAAGCGAAATGAATCATTTAATCAGTGGAAATGTTCAATACGTAACATATAGCCATAATATCTCTACCAAATGAGCGAACATGATGAACAACTACGCACATGAAATTGTAAATCATCGAATTCAAAGTAAACTTCAATGAGGGAGTGTGGGTGGTGTTTATATCCACACCTACATCACGATAACATAAATGTCGAGACTCGATTTCAGATAATTGTTATTATCTCCATTGTAAATAAATGTTTTTACCACAGCGTTTAATTGTATAATCATTAAGCAATTTCTCATGATAAATAAGTGTTTGTAATTTGTAAACTAATGCTTCACTTGCATTAGGAACATAGAAGTTTAATGAGCGAAGATAAGGAGTGAGTGTACAATTTTTGATTAAAACACAACGTAGAAGTATATCAAGATTTGTATATTTTGTACAGCGCACCTCGAGATATTGCATATGAGTACAAAGAAAAATGACGAAATAAACTTGTTCAAAATCATTCATGCCTTCGAAACTCACTTCTGTAATTTTGTTTTTGATTGATATTAAATTAAGATTTAGTTTATCTTCATTAGATAAATAGCTTAGTTGGAGAAATGGAAAAGATGAAAGTTTCAAAGACTGAAGATTTGGTAATAATTGTACAAGTTTAACAAACGTACCAGTAAACATTTCATTACAATTAATGTGTAAACGAGTAAATCGAACAGCAAAGAAAATTGGATTGATTTTATTAATAACGGATTGATACCATGTAGCAGAGCAAGAGTCTGCAATAGTATACTGAATATTAGAAGAATATTGAATGGTCTGTAGGGAGTTATCATTTGTGGTAACTTGAATATGTTTCGGAAGATCGAACCATGTTCTACGTGAATGAACTGTACAAATGAATACTGTACGAGTCGTTTTAAGTTCAAATATCCATTGTCGTTTGATCCAAAATGGTGAATTAAACCGATTGATTGACAGACTTAAATAATTATATTCATATTCATTATACAGAAGTTTATGATGATGATCAAAGTCGAATCTACGCAATTGAGGCATGTGTTGTACGATTAATTGTTCCCATCGATCAGCATCAAGATAAGCAATATCTTGATGTGTAGTAATACGCAAGACTTCCAATTGAGAAGTAATTTTCATGATAAATGTTTCAAACTCATCAAAACTCAAACAACAATTTCCAATAGAGATATATAACAAATGAGATAGTATCAATCTATCTTTGTTTTTCATGTTGCTATACGAATTTTTCAAATATTTACATTGTAAACGACGAAGTTGAGGTGTATACTGAAGTAAAGAGATAAGTTCATTAATACTACAGTTATGATCAATGACTAAATATTTGATAGTGCTGAATTGTACCTTTAAGTCTAATGAAACGATAGGATTTGATTGTTCATTGGCTAATAACGACAGTTTATTGTATTTCAAAATACGTAAGCGATAAATCATTTGATAAATATCATTAAAATTATAAGAATGATTCATTTTAAGATAAATAGTTAGTGAGAAAAGGTGAGGTAGAGTTTGTAAATACGAAAGAAGTATCTGAAGTTTATCATTTGTAATTTCATTTAAAATAATTGATTCAAGATGATTAAATGATGAATCAATAATGCATTCTATTAAAAACTCATCGATGAGCATTTTATTTTTTACATGAAGAGAACGGATACGATCTCTGTTTGGAATGATTACTTTTTTACAAAGATGCGTAACTGGTGTGTTTGATTTTGAACAAAGATTGATTTTTAGTGGAAGTAATGAAGAATTAATGAGATATTGAAAACGAACATTAAGATTCACAAAAGCAGTATAGATATCATAACCATCGAGATAATCAAAAATCTCACACAAAAGTTCGTTAGGTAAATTTTCGATACAAGTAATTGGTGAACTATGAAATGAAAAAAATGGATACAATAAGATCAGATTTTATCACTTACTTTTCTTCATAGCGTGTTGTTTGTGACGCTAGTGGGAAATAGAGAATACATCATAACACTAATTATATGTAAAATTTACTTCGTAATTTCACCGTTCTTCCGTCAGACAACTTATCGATAGATAGTTCGCGTTTTAGTGACCTCATATTGTTCAAGAATCTTATATAATCTGAAATAATCATATTATTCATATGTAATAAATATTCACATGCGTTTCTAGAGTATGATAGAGATATTTAAAACTACTACGTTTGTTTCTTCGTAGCTTCACATAAAGGAAGAAACAACGAATTACAATGAGTGTTGTTTACTCAATGACGATGCTTTTTACCTTTTCTCTTTCGTTTTCGTATGTCAAATACCGTCAGTAACTCATTTCATATCACTCTTTTTAAGCATCGAATACACATTTCGATGATGACTCATTCGACTCTAGGAAAAAACCGAGAAGAAAATCAGAAACGTTGACATATATCAAGCGATGCTAAAGTCGTTGGGAAAATGTGAAGCTAGAGTGTGAATGCGGATGTGTTAGTGTTCTCATCACCTACATCTACACTTACACCCACACCCCACACCCAATAACAAGTGTACGGATTTAAAGTAAGATTTTCACAACAGTTTTCGAATATGCTCTGAAGATCTCATCAAATAGCTGGCCTGGATGAGCTCTCGCTTGGGATATGAATTTAATTTTTGACTTTACTTTTACCAGCACCTCACCACATTCACATCCTAATTCACGAATATCCCAATAAGTGTGATTGTGATCTTGATTGTTGCCCATACGGTGAATTAAAATTACTGACAAATATGAAGTAATAATTTCCAGCTATGTATCAGAAATGAATAAGCTCCAAAAAAACTATCTGAACTTTAGTTTTCTGGCTTCTTATTGCCTCTTATTTGTCATCGGTCTCATCTATGAATCCACAGACGCATCATGGATTCTCAACTATTTTCGTGTCAATGTTCCCGGCTTATTTCTTAACGTATATCTGGTCTACTGCATATGTGTCTATCGATGTGTCTATATGTGTATACTTATATATGTGTTCATACCAGGGCTCTGCGTGGGATGGGATGGAACGAAAAATTTTCCGTCCCATCCCATCAGTCCCATGTACACTAAAAAGTAATGTGTGGTGCAAACTTCTTCCACGTAAATTCATTTTTTTTAACAACAACACAACGTTTTGATGTAAATATTGTTCTCGTTTACTCCAGCGGAATTGACAAGGGAGAAATACAATTTTTTTGTGGAACTCACGTATGCTTTCGAAAAATTAGCGAGTGTCAAATTAAATCAAAGTTTTTGCGCCCCCCCCCTCCTCCGCCCTCTTCCCATTACATATCTTATCAAAGGGATTAAATAATGGATATTATAATAGGCATATTTGCCATTTAGTTCAATGCTTATAATAATAAAAAGATAGAATAGGAAAAAAAGAATTATGAAAATGAAAAATAAAAAGCGCAAAAGCAACAATGAAAACGAAGAATAAGGCGCCCGTCAGAAAAAGAAAATAGAAAAATTCTTGATTTTGCACTTTCTTTACTTTGTACTAAAGGGTGGTCGAAAACTTTCGACCCCTCTCTGTAAATCGACGATATCTATACAAATACTTATATAGACAATTCATAAAAATATATAGTTTTATAGAGGAAGATTAGAGCTATCATTTGAAAAAAAGATACCTCGGCATGCATCGACATCATGAGAAGTTATGGTTGCTTTATTGATCATGACTAAACATTGTACGTCTTGCACTTTTTGCAAAAAATAAAATATGCTCGTAAAATCTTAAGCGATATATTGCTTTCTAGATATTTTTACATGGTTCGATAGAATTCGACAAGCTCTGCGAGAATTTGAATGTTTAAAAAATTTCTGATCTTATTTTTAATATAAAACTTGAAGAAAACCAGAAAGAATAATGAAAATTTCATGTATCACATATTAGAGAGAGTAAGTTGAGCTTTTAATAGCTTTAGCTGGTTGAGTGTTCCATCCCTTCAAGCGGCTCGGATGAGTTATTGTCAGCTTCAGTATGTGACACTGCATCTCGAAACATCAATTAGCAGTCGATCAACTAAAGTTGTTGCAAGTTAAGCATACTATCTCATGCAAGATATGTGAGATTTTTATTAGTCTGTGTGGTTTTCTCTCAGTTTTATGTTGGAAACAGCATTCGAATTTTTCTTGATATGAATATTCTTGTAGAGGTAGTCGAATTCTATTGAACCATATAAAAATATCTGTTAGAGACATGTAGAAAATAATATTTCGCTCGACTTTAACGACTCAAACATTAAAGATTTGCTTTATTTTTTCAAAAAATGTAAGATGCAAAATGCTTAGTCATCATGAATAAAATGATCATAACCCATCATAAGTACGATACAATTTGAACCATTTTTTTCAAATAATAGCTCTAATTTTCCTCTACAAAACCGTATATTTCGATGAATTGTCTATGGAAGAATTTATATACATATCGTCGATTTACAGAGAGGTGTCGAAACTTTTCGATCACCATTTAGTATCATAAAGCTAAAGAAGATATGTAAGTTCCACACTTTGGCCCCTTTAGGTGCCGCACTGACAAGTTTTTCTATTCTGCAAGTGGCTAAGCAAATTGATAAGTGTATTAATAGATTTTACTCTTTTTGAGGTATTTGACAAGTATGAAAACCCATGAAATGAGATGAGACGCGAAGTTTTAGATAACTATCCCATCTTATGCAATAAAAAATTTTCTCATACATGTACCATCCCATGGGTTTTCACACTTGTCAAATATTACAAAAAAGTACAATTGCTTAATACACTTATTAGTTTCCTTAATCACTTAAAGAGTACAAAAAAAAATTATAATTCTTTCTTGTCAGTTCCGCTGGAGTAAACGAGAACAACATTTACATCAAAAAGTTGTGTTGTTGTTTGAAAAATTGACTTTATATGGAAGAAGTTTGTTCCATGGGACGGATGGGATGGGATGGGACTGTCCCTTCCCACGCGGAGCCCTGGTTCATACGGGTTCATCGACACATAACGCGTGTATGTTTTGTCTTGTCTCTTGTATCTAGTCACATGAAACGGACTACAACTTAATAGTTTAAATACACTTGCTGAACAAGCATTCTATCATATGAAAGCCGGTTCTAGCAATTTTTTATGTCAATGTGGTGAAACAATGAAGGTGGCAAAAACTATAGCAAATCCATCACTGAAATGATTCATGAAGTTCAAATAGAGAGATGTTAAGCGTGCAGAAACTGTTTCTGTCGCTAGAATTCTAAAGTCTTAAAGGTTTACAAGAAAATTTGATGGCGATATGTTCGATGCTTATCATATTGTCCCTCGAAGTAGCTTCGTATGAGAAACTATGTAAACGCGACTGCAAAGTGAATGGTAGATAAATGAATATAAGAATGATTTAAATTTTTCCTATTCCTGATTGGAGAACAGCTGTCTCTATTTTGGAGAGCCGAAAAGAAAGAGGATTCGTTTATCCCCTTTTTTTGCAGTGCAATTCAAGCGACTTGAATGTGGGTGTAAGCAGAGAATCATACCCACTCTCTGAATTCTCCACAAGAGACATGTACGAAAATCACTGGAAATGGAATTTCTCATTTATACCGGTCAACCAGAACAATGTCGAAACGAACTATATTAATGCTTCAGATGAAACGCAAGCAAAAAACACATAGTACTGCAATTGATATGCTGTGTCAATCATTAAATTCTACAATGACAACAATATCTCTCTATGATAAATTCCATCCAAAAAAGGTACGACATAAGGAAGCATCAAGTTTTCATAATGTAGGTCTGAATTTTAAAATTTTGAATGTCGTAAAAAATATTCTACAAAAATTGATTATAACTTCCAGTTGCTGTGTCCGAAGTTTTGCCGCTGAAAATGTCACATGTACTCATTTATTCTCATATTATCCTTGAGAGATTTCTAGTTCTGAGAAAGTACTATGACAGAGTACTAAACCCTATATAAAATGGTATATATCAGAGTGATTTCTGTTAATTAGCAATGATTTTGTATCACAAATAGTGATTTACGTGACTTAAGATTTTACTTTGATTACCATCTTTAATAGGGTATTTAATATTGCCGATAAAACACAGTCTCTTCTCAACAATATGGTATCAATCAACAGCAAAATTAGCATCTAACTATCCCACAATCTTCCGAGGATTTGTCTATCTTTATGTTTGTTTTATACCTGCTTCCAGAGGGGAAAATAATTGTTCTCTGCATTTCAAGTTTTCAACTTGTAGTAGAAAAATCTGATTACATACATTCAAGTACGTCCTGATATCATATGCCTTTGCTGTTGCTGTTAGATGAAATTAAATTATAATGAATTACTGTGATGATGGCTAACTCAAAACATGGTTTTAGAAGTCCTGTATGTATGCTCTTATTTGAGACAGATGTTGATGACTTTTTGATTGAGTTTCAATAATATGTCATTTTGAAATGTATAACAAGAAGCAAAAACACTCTTAAATGCAAAACTAAGTCAGAATACAAGATTGATTAAATCATTAATAAAAATGAGCTTTTTCTATGAAAAGGCTGATGCCCACATGATCTTCTTAAGATAAGTCTTAGATAATAAAATCTCGTCTTGAGAGCTGTTACTAAAATAACAGCTACATAAGAAAACATTTGACTCCATCTTCAAGTTTACATATATTTTCCGTTCTCGCCTCCATTAATTAGAGATAATATTACAAATATTTACTGAAAAATATCTTTTTTCCAGAGTTCAAAAAATTTTTATAGAGCAGAATCTTTCATGTCAAATCTTAAAGATTTTGATACCCGAAAACCAATTCGACGTGTGCATCGTATGACTACTAAAAGATTGCTCACGATCGAAGAAAAGGGTATGGGTGCGAATCTCTTCTTCACCCACACTCAGACCCAGACCCATTAATCATCTTGTTAAGCAGAGGTTTTCAAGTTCAAAAAAATATTGTTCATCTAACGTATACTTAGAGAATATTTGGAGTAATATTACGGTCAAAAAGTGTGCGTTCGTAATTAGAAACAAGTTGACATGATTATACGTATCTTCAGATGTTTGTAATTACATCGCTATCTTATTCTTGAACCAGAAAAAACAACGAAGAACTTTCACTTTTATTTATCATATAGCGCACATTCATCAAGAGAAAAACATGTCTAACTCAACGAATACAGCGATCGGACCGTCATCTGATTTAGTACGAGCTTTAACTATTCTTCCAGTGATGGACAAATATATGCTGATTGTTCTATATATTTGTGGTATTGTCGGCGTATTACTTAACGTTTTTACACTTCTCCAGAAAAAATTTCGCAAAAATCCATGTTCGCTCTATTTTCTCTCGGCTTCGATCACTGATTTCTCTGTTATGAACGGGGTTCTTATGATGGATGCCATGAGATATTTAAACCCATCATTATTTGTCTACATGAATTCAATCATAGTCTGGTGTAAGCTAGGAAAATATCTTGTGTTTCTTCTACCATGTCTATCATCTACTTTTATCATTATTGCATGTATTGATCGTTTCTGTACAAGTTCACATCGTCAACAGCTTCGTAAACTCAGTCAACTAAAAGTGAGCCGTATATTAATACCATTCGTATTATTGATATGGGTTTTATTCTCAATCCATATTATTATTTCATACAATGTTATACCATATGCACCAACAAAATCAGATCGATGTAGAAGTCCACCAAATGAATTTCTGTTTTTCTTGATTGTTGATGGCTATTTCTTCTCTCTGTTTAATGGTGCCATTGTTCCTCTATTTCTTTTGATTTTTGGTTTCTTGATCTATCGAAATGTACAGCTAAGTCGTAGACGAATTGCTCCAATGCCTGATACAAACAGTAGTAGAACAATAGTAGCAGTACGCAATCCAAATTTAAATCGACATAATTTACATTTGATAACCATGGTCTTAGCACAATCGAGTCTAACCGTCCTTTTAAACATACCATATATGGCAATTTATCTCAATAGTTTCTATAATAACGTTCCGACCGATCAGCTGCTTCTTCTTGTCTATGCTATATTCGTGTATATTGGGCGATGGTTTTGGTTTCTGAACTACGTCAAAACATTTTACGTCAACAGTTTATCAAGTCAAGTATTTCGAAATGCTCTTAAACAGCAATTCATCAATCTCAGTCGTCAATCGAGAGCACAAATCCTAGCTTTGGCAGCAGCATCCTGAGGTCTATTAATAGATACTCGATAACTTAATTTTCATCTTCATGTGACTATTCAATAAAATATCAAAATAAAACAGAGACTTATCTATTTTTTAGATACTGAAATGCCTTGAAGATGAGCATAACAAAACTCGAAATCAAACTGAATTTAATCCTTCAAGTCTCAGCTCATTTCGAACTTTGTTGGACGAAAGCATTGTAGGAGGTATCAATGTACTTGATCAGGCGACTATACTGATTAGATGTTGGTGTTTGGGTGAAGAGACTGTGTTTTATCGGCAATATTAAATACCCTATTAAAGATGGTAATCAAAGTAAAATCTTAAGTCACGTAAATCACTATTTGTGATACAAAATCATTGCTAATTAACAGAAATCACTCTGATATATACCATTTTATATAGGGTTTAGTAC